CATACCCCCACAAACCTCACACAGCCACACACACCCTCCCCTACATCGCACATCCACTGTCACTCACCCCCAACAAATCCCATACCCACCTACACCCTTATGCCCCCCCCACAATATACAAAAGTAAGACTTCATTTTGAGCTATTATGCAATCACCTCTATTTATACTATACAAACACACACAAATTAGGACAGAATTATTTTTTGAAATAAAATTAATGTATGTTATAGTAGATGTATGATTTTTAGTATATAATTTGGTTTTTTTCTGGTTTCAAGATGGCAAACCTCCCTCCCAAATGGAGCACTACTGGGGGAAATGGGGGAGCACTTCTAGTGGAAAAGATCAGGGGTTAGAGGCAGGACTTCTGGTCCCAAGATGGTGACCAGGGGCCGGGCACCTGTCAAGGGGAAGGGCTACCCTTGCAGCCCTCAACAGTTCACCGAAATTCATTAAGTGTCCCTCCAGTTGAAGTAATTGACCATCCCTGGCCTAAGGTAATGACTGAACAGTGAATGAGAGCTTTAACCTGACTCCTTTAGAGTTAAAGTGATAGGAATCTGTGCCATCAGGGTAACAGGATTGATATTCGTACTGTCAATGTGAAGCCTTTAGCCTGTATTGACCAGGTAACCACATGTTTAATACAATATTAATTAATTAACTGTCAAAGAGAGTCTTCATGTTGACATGCTGGGCTGTTTTTGGTGCACCATGGAATGTGCCTGGTAGGCTTTTTGTTATCAGTTAGAATCGGCTCACTATGGAAGAAGGAAAGTTAATTGAAAACTTTTTTTTTCTTTGTCTCTTTGGTTTCTCTTGCAGCGGGGGGCAGAAGTGCATGTGGTTCCCTGGAATCATGACTTCACCAGGATGGAGTACGATGGGCTCTTTATTTCTGGTGGCCCTGGGGATCCAACACAAGCACAGGAACTGATCCAGAATGTCAGGAAGGTAAAGTGTGAGCCCTTCGGCGCTTTTCTAACCAATGACATCCATGAATTCATCTCAGGGCTTTTGTATGCAATAATTTGCTTGTTTCTCAAGGAGACAAGTGGATCATGGATTAGAAATTTAAGCAGTTGTGTGTGCTAACAAGTCATGTGAAATTTCACTCCTGTTACTTTTCCAGTTTGTCATCTGTCTCTGTCTGCTTAAACTGTTAGCTCCAAGGACTGGAGACCTCACTTGTAGTAGGCCCTAGTATATGAATAGTCACTTTTATAAAAAGACAGTGCATCTGCAGTCATGTATCCTTCCCTAAAGGCCGGCCCATAGGGAACCATAGCTGATCTCTCTGTATGCCCTCTTTGGGTAGGCTTCTCATCTTGTCCACTCCATTCCCACTGTATGCAATGACCTCCATACAGACAAAGGAGGGGTGTGATGATGGATAGGAGCACTTCTCCCAGCTAGGAATATATGTTGGGCCCTATATTCCCTATTGTGAATTAGGAGCATATAGGAAACACTAGCCCAGCAATAAGCTGATTCAATTATTTTATATGTAAGTTGCCAAAAACAAATTAATTCTCCATTGAAACACTGTGTTCAAAGCTAATGAGTATAAATATATTTTACCTCTGAATTGGAAGATTTGATGGTGCAAGAATCTCACTCTTGGGTTGATGAAAATCTTCTCCATCTAGGTCTTGGAGAGTGATTGCCAGGTGCCATTGTTTGGGGTCAGTATGGGGAACCTAATAATTGGAGTGGCAGCTGGAGCTACGTCTTACAAGATGCCCATGGCCAACAGGTAAGACAACATACTGCAAAGAATTGTGCTACATCAACATTTCGCCTTTCCCACCTCTTCACTAATGCAACCTATAATGTCTGTGATGCCAGATGGGCTGTCTTCCCACCCTTCTTTCCATGAGATGAGTTGTGAAGCAAGCTGAGAAATCAAGGACCACAGTGCAGCTCTTTTTTCCAGAGTGAAGAGTAGATGGTGGCCTGTAGTGTTCAGCTGTGAATGGTTCTATATTCTGCTCAGAGATTCACTTGTTCATTGGATCCCCTTCTAACTTAAGAGGCCAGGCCCGAAGGATATTCCTGTTTGAATCCTTTCTTTTAAATAATGAACTAAACAAAACTTTGACTTAATGTACAGGCACCGAAATATGGCAGCCTTACACTGTACATTTTGTGTCCAAGATGTTTAAGATGGAGTTGATATAAATATATTCAAAGATATTGTTGCCTCATCCTCCATGGCTATTTATGTTGGCTGGAGCCATGCATTATTTTATTTGGGAATACCTCTGTTCGGTGTCTTGGTCAGATTACAAAACTGACACATTTTGTGTATCCTACTATAGACATTCCACTGATTACTGTTTCCTATACAAAATACACTTTCTCCAGCTTACTTCCTAACAGGCCTTCTGAAGTGTGCAGAAACATGACTCTGTCGGAGCCTGTATACTAGTAATGTGGACATACGTACATGGCACAGTTCAGTGTCACACAGAGATAACTGAGATCATTCTGAATGAGTTGACGTACATATTGGAGGCAGCCTATCTGTAGTGGTGTGATATAACCCACCTGGGCTGATATACCTTGCTTCTCAGCTTGGCTGGAATGCCATGCTAAGAGGACTGTATTGCTTCTAGTACCCAGACTAATATGGGTTTCTCTGAACAGCGCTGTGTTGTGCCATGAGGTCATACCCTTTATTTCTTTTTTACAGCAGTTTGTCTTGTTCCTTTAAAATTATCCTGCCAAATAAATTGTTCCTTTTGAGGCCATTTGAAAACCGTTTGTTCTAAATGGTCCAATTGAGCTAAAGGATATCTCTGTTTTAACTTTAATGTCTTATCATAGTGATTGTGATACTGGCTATAGCAATTGAACAGCTGCTGCTGGGTAGCTATAAACGCTGAACTGTCAGACCTGCTTGTGCTAGGTGCTGGCTGGAAGAAGGATTTGTGGCTTTCTGTTAGCTTTGCTAATTGTGCACTTGTATAATGGGAGTTTTAAGCACTCTGCTTTTGCTAAGTACCATACAGTACTAACTCCAGTGTTTTCCTTCTGCTCTTCATGTGCACTGTTCCTTTTATCCCTCACCTCTCTGTCCCTTTCCTCTTTTCCTATCTGTCATCAGAGGGCAGAATCAACCCGTGTTGAGTGCAGTGAATGGACAGGCTTTCATTACTGCTCAGAATCACGGTTATGCGATTGACAGCAGCACCCTCCCTCCTGGTTGGAAACCCCTTTTTGTGAATGCCAATGATCAGACAAATGAGGTAGGTGCAAACTTTCCAGATATCTACTCAAGCAAGGGTTTAGATAGTGTCCCCTATCCGTTGTTCATTTCACTCAGATATCTTGCTTAAGCCTGCTCTATCTGGAGGTGCAAGTTTATTGGTTATACTTCATGAGCGGGTGCTCCATAAGAACCCTTTTCCTGTCAGTTTGATTATCTGACTATATTTTGTGTTCAGTGGTACTGCTCTCTTAGCTGGCAAGGCAGTAAATCAATGCAGTGACCCTTGTATTATCACACAGTCAGTTAACCAAGCTGTAGAATCAGTGCAGAGGCCCTCACAAAGCTTTTTGGGGTGCTGCCCCATAAAGATTAGGTTGATTTCATACCTTTAATGGTTATCAGCCTAAATCTCCAGTCCAGTGCCCTCTTGTGCCAGACACTGCATAAGTGGCCTGAAAGTGTTTGTAATCTAACTAGACAAGGAGTAGGAGTGAAGACGGCAAAATAGAGAGAGGAGAAGTGACTTGCTTAAATTGCCCAGTAAGTCAGCGGATGAGCAGGGACAGAACCCCCACTTCCTGACCCCCATTCAGTGCCCTACCTGCTAGATTAAGCTGCCTCTTGTAAGTCTTCATTGACCTGTGGATTCAAAAATACTGCTGAAAAATAGGTATTTAAAAAAATAATTCCTCTTGGGAGAAATCTCCCTGTCCTCTTGTATTAGTCCCACCTCACATCAAACCTGACAGGTTGAACACTGTGCTGTGCTAATATAAACTCAATAGACTTTTGAGAAGCCAAACTAAGTATAAGCATTTCCAGCAGATGAATTTAATATATGTATGTATGTTTGCCAGCTGGTGCTGTCCTTCCTTGAATAAATTTCTGACTAGAGGTAGAATAATAATGCAACCCCCTTCCTAACCTCTTCAAAAAAACCCCCAGAGACAAACTCTTCAAAGCCTATTATTGTTTGTTTCACCTTTACAATGGGCTTGCTCTCCCTCTTTTTTGTTTTCATGGAGATTGAAGCAGAGAAACTTTTCTGGGAAAGTATTTGGAGGCAAACTTCAGAGTTATGTGGAAAATTGGAGTAAAGCCCCAGGACAGTCCTTCTGTGGGGACTAAACTAGAGACTTCTAGATCTAAATGTATTGCTTAGTTGATAGGGTCTCCATTTAGTTGTAGACCCAAACCTCTGCAAGTGTTCTGGCCTTTAGAGCCTATCAAGGAGCTTTGCTGTTTTAGTACAGATGGCACAAGCATTCACAGAAATAGAATTTGACAACCACACATCAGCACTGTACCTAGACTTCTGGCGGCCCTGGGTGGACTTTTAGTATCGCCCCCCACCTTCGCCAGAGATAATAATAATAATTAGAAAACGGAAAAAAAACATCCGTTTTTGGGTCCCCTTTTTATCTGGGCCCCAGGCAGTTGCCCTGTTCACCCATGCCTGTGTCCGGGTGTGCCACACACGTAAGTTCCTTTGCACTAATCTCATCAGGGAAGAGAGTCTGTACCAGAGCTTAGCAAAGCAATGCAGATGCCAAATATTTATTCAGAACTAAACATTTGAAAAGATACATATATAGAAATAGCTGGTGAACTCAGAGAAACTCTTATCTCCTCATGGTTATTTCATGACACGTAACTCAGTTCTTCATTCCACGCTAATTATAGGAAAGCATCATAACTAGCACCTATCACTCCCCCTGTCTCAGCCAAGAGCCCAATACTCTGAGCCATTTTTGGCCCCTGACCTGAACAACACCTCTGCTCTGTAAATGCAGCTGGAATATAATCTTGCTGTTCCACCTAGGTGATTAGATATGGAGCCTGCACTTGTTGAACTCTTTCCCCCTCTCCCCACCCCTCCTGGTTCCTTCTGGGAAGCTCTGGCTTCTCATCTTCCACCTAGTAGAGTTGTCCACTAGTCATGCAGAAATGGCTGTCATGGGAGCCATTCCAATCCTGTCCCCTAGAATTCAGTTGCTGATTGTCATGCCATACAAGAGAAGTCTTAGGCCTCCAACTCCAGCTTGTCTGAAACTGCAAACGGTGGCTTCAAGTCAAGCTTGGGCAATTCTGCAGCTTTCCTGGGACCAGCACAGTGGTCTACTTGTCCCATCTCAGCAATGGCCTGGGAAAGAAGCAACCTGACCTGAATTGCGTTCCACAGCATCCACAATTGTTGCATTGTCTTGTGCTAAAGAGACTAGGTGACATCCATTTTTATTCAGCTCAAACAAGAAAAGAAAGTGGAGTTAGAGCAGAGATGAATTTGGTCCATTGTTTTCAGCAGGACTGAGGCCAAACTGGGGCAGTAAATGCAGATTTTCTACTCCAGCCTCCTTCAGGGTGACCTTTTATTACTGTATATTTTCCCCCCCACCTGCTCTATTATTCTGTGTGGAAGGAGCCTCACATATCTTTTCACTTAAGTGCCTACAATTCGATAATACAACATTCGCTTCTCAGCTGCACACAACCCAATGGGCTACACTGACGCTGTAGTGTGAGTAAAGATTGAGCAGCTCAGTGGCTTACTGGCTAAAACGTTGTTTGAAGACCTGGAATGAAATGAGTTTCAACTCAGCATCCCCTAAAAGCATACTGGTTCTTGACCTTTAATACCTTCAGGGTGGTAAGCAGTAGCTCTCTGTTATTTCACTCATTACCAGGAAGGTGTCTAAGGCAATCATTTCTATCCCTGCAGGGAATTATGCACGAGACCAAACCAATTTTCACAGCACAGTTCTACCCAGAGGCCAGCGCGGGGCCAACGGACACGGAGGTACTGTACAGGGATTGGTTCTAGTTTGGTTTTGGAGTTGCTGAAGGAGTGTGCATTGAGTATAGATCAGGTAAAGTGAAAATCTTTATGCACTGATGCTCTTAAATCCTGTTTTCATAGAAGTGAGGCCCTTAGTAAAGGTCCCAATCCTGTATAGTCTTACGGATGTTTAACACAATCCAAAGCTCATTGAAATCAACTCCCATCAACTCTATTTGCATGAATAGTAGAAAATATTTAGACAATGGACATGCTTTTGGTCCTTGTGGGACCTTGTGTGTGTGTGAGTGGATAATTTCTGTGCAGAATATTGTTTGTGGACTTAAATCTTAGCAGGACTGGGCTGAAATTTCTTGAACCTGTGATGGCTGCAAAAAGAAAATTTCTGTCTCAAAAAAATATCTAGATGCTATTTCTAATAAACCTATTAACATTTTAATACATTTGAGTTCCACTTCCAAACATTGTAATTGTGGAGTTATGTAAGTGGATTCACACTCATTCACCTTTATTCTCCTAGCTGAAATGAAATGTTAATCCCTCTTCTGTGATCTCACACAAATTCTTTAGCAACTGGTTGCATAGTCACAGAATACGACTAAGCAGCAGGGGACGTTGCAGGGAAAAGCAATGTCTGAGCATAAATATATTATGTGGTACCTGTAGGGAAAGGAAGCAGGAGTGTTTAGAAATGATATCATTTAATGTTATATTTATGTTTAAAAATGAATCTCTCAGTAGCAAGGAAGTTCTTACCACTTCAGAGGGGAATCTCAAAGAACTTAAAAACCACCCTTAGACTTCTCTTTCCAAGCTACCATGAAGTTTCATTGTTTTGAACGCATTTTATAGCGTACTGTAGATTCTTAGAGATCTGCAGTCTGACTGAAGGACAAACATGTGCCCAATCAGTTTCCAGGTTAATAACAAACAACTGTTAAAAATATATGTAACAGGGCCCTTTCTCAGTTGGTGTAAATCCTCATAGCTCCATTGGTCTGGTTAAGTGTACAGTACTTAGATTTCGAGCTCATATATCCCTTATGTATTAGCACATATATTCAACTGTGTATGTATTTGTTAAATGCTTTTTCTTTGTGTTCTCTTTCTTGAGGCTTTCTTACTTCTTTGACTTAGGTTCATCTGCTAGGTCAAAAAGTATGATGAAAATTAGAAATATGGGGCCAATTTTTTTGCTAGTATAAATCAACGATGCTGATATCAGTGGAGCTAAGCTGATTTACACCACCTAACCATCTGGCCTGCAGCAAGTTTGTTTTTCTTTAACTTTCATAATTTGTTTAGCTCCATTTTGGGTGCTTAAATATGTGTTTATCTTTCCCAGTTGCTATTCGATTCATTTATTTCACTGATTAAGAAGGGAAAAGGTACTACCATTGCCTCAGTGCTGCCCAAGGCCAGAGCTACCGCTTCTAGAGTTGAGGTCAGTATATTAATGACCTTTATTTTTATCTGTCGGTCACTGAGTAGCTATGACTTGAATTAACTCAAATGTAGAAAATGCTTTGCATGAACATGTAGCTGGGAAACTGGAGTATGGGACTCCCTCACAGAAGCTCCATTATAGATTCCTTTTTGTATTTTATTAAATCTTTCTGTTCCTATGTGCAGGTTTTGTGTATATGTCAATGTATGTTCTTCAAACAGAATCCATGTTTATCACGAAGTTCTCTGTCCCAAGGCACATCCTGTAGTCCAGTCTAGCATCACATGAGCAGGATGTTATAATAAATGGTTCCTTTCAAATGCAGCAGGGCTTTGAATAAAAAATATAAAACAGAGCAGTGGGAAGCCAAAATGAAAGACGGTAGTCTACACAGAAATAAAATAATCAATACATTTATTCTGTATTTTGTGCAAAACTTAATGTGTATACATTTCTTTAGCCAAATGTACATGTGATGGGTTCAATAAAACTTTTCCTGTAAAGCTGGAAATAAAGCTGCAGTTTTTCTGAAGGTGGCTTTTCTTTTTTCGTTAGACCTTCTGGTTTCTTTTTGTAATTCAAAATTGTTCCATACTGTAGGGTTCTTTTTTCCAAGCTCTAACCCCTATGCTTTGTAGCATTTTAAAAAATCATATTAATTTTTGCTTACTTTTTCCCCTAGGTCTCCAAAGTTCTCATCCTAGGATCTGGGGGTCTGTCAATTGGGCAGGCAGGGGAATTTGATTACTCTGGATCACAGGCTGTTAAAGCCATGAAGGTGAGATAACACACAAAAATGTTGTTCAACTTTTTTCCTTTGTTGCAGCTTAGATGATCACTTATTTGCTTATTCTAAAACTGTGGATTTATGACTTTTTTTTTTTCTATTGGTGAATTGTTGGCCCATTGATCTGAGTTTTTGTTTGCAGCATGGATTCTTGGGGGGAATAATTATGCATAGTTGGAATTTGAATGTTATCCTTTGGATTGTCCTGGTCCTTGACTCCTTGCTCTTCATTGTGATGTGTGTTGCTTATATCTCTCTAATAGAATACCTGTAATTTTTTAAAAGGGGAATATAGTGAATGGCAAATAATGCACTTTGTAAATGAATGATGTGACAAAAGGTAGTTTGCATTCAAGTTAGTGAAACTTGTCTGATTTATCAGCTCTTTTGCAGATAAATTGTTATTCATTGAAATGCTAGTGGGAAATGAATGTGGTGAAGTCATTAGTAATAAGGGAATAGAAAAGCCATGCTTTTTGGTGAAAATGTTTATGAATTTTTTACACTCTCCTATTAGTGTTTCCAAATAAAATAGTGTTTATTGTAAATGAAAGAAGATACATTTTAAAATCAGGGTTTAATGTGCTTTGCAAAGTAGCTGGAGATGAACTAGAAGAAGCAGAATCCTTCAAAGACAGGGTTACTGTCATATAGTATAAGGCCAGTGTAACCAGATCTCCCTTCCTCTACCTATGTCACTCACACACTCATCTGGAAAAAAACGGAGACTTCATGACACTGCCAGATATACAGCTGATGCAGCTGTTGACTGCAGAGTATGTAGTTTAGAGAAGCCCTGAAACTGCTCTCAGTTGTCAGGGCAATTTAAGCCCCCAAGTTAAAATAAAATCAAGAAAGAGGAAAGGTAAATTAGATATCTCCCCACATTCCTTCCCAATAGATTTGATTCATCCTGCATTTCCTCCATCAGGGTGAGACTTATAGTAACTGAGAACTGAACCCCAAATGTTGTAAAGCATTGTTTTACATGTGCTTTATTAATCTGCATTGCCAAGCCTAGCATTTTGTGTAAAGTGTTCACATGTTCAATGAATCAATATCAAATCAGGAGATGAGAGTCCTGGACATGGGTAGTCTCTGTACAAATAGCATCTTGAATTTTAAGGGTGGGCACCTTTTTTTGGTCTCCGTCTTCCAAACTCAGTTCTACAGGTTTCCCTTGCTTTATGTGGGTTCTGTACGTGTGAATTCACTCTTATGTGATGACCCTTTCTTTACCAAAAAAACATTATATGTGAGGTAAATTCACTCTTATGCGATTGGTGTGGTGGAAGCCAGCAGTCAGCTGCTATGTGCGGTGCATTGTGGGAGTGACACGCACCAAAATATAGTCTCCTGTGCTCCTCCTGCGTTGGCTGCGACATGTGTTTCTGTAGTTGCCATCCCCATTATGATAGTGCCCTGAGCTTGTGTGTACTGTCTGCTGTTGGTGAATACCAAAAGTGTCTTGTAAAGGTGGTAGAAATGGGTCTGGGGATCAGTACAGTTGAGGTCTTGGAACGTATCCCTATTTGTTACATTGTAAAGTGGGTTCCCTTTATGCAAATTTGAGTTATGCACCATTTTTCCAGGAATGCATGTACAGCATAAAGCAAGAGAAACCTGCACTGTGTACTGTGCAGTTTTTGTCCTAAATTTTGCTAGCTTGACCTTCTAGAATACCCCTCTTTTCTTCTTGCCACCAGCCAGCTGTTGTGATCTTGGCATTAATCAGCCATTCCAGAGGCAGCATTTGCTCTCCCTGACCTTGCCTCCAGCAGTGGTGATTTACAATAGCATGCCAAAGATGAGGCAGTTGGTCATCACCCACCAAGGGAAAACTACATCGTATGGGTGGCAGAAAATGGGGGAAGGTAACACAAGCAGAAGGTGAGAGGCTAAAGGCCTTTCTTTGCCAAACTTTCACTTCACCATTTAAAACAAAATAATTTAGATACTGATTTGCTGGTATTTCCCACCCTTTCTGTTTATTAAGCCTGAGCTCAACAAGACAAATAATTCTGTGTTTTAATCCATCCCTTAGGTATGTGCATAACTAAGTAGTGTTGAGTGAATTTGTAGCCATGATAAAGACCTGAAGAATGCATTGCATTCAAAAGCATATATAAGCCTGTCCTAACCATGTAGGTGGTCTAAACAAAAATATCACCTGCAAAAAATCCTTCTCTTTCGCAAGTTAGTTTAAACTTAAACTCCTGTTGAATTAGGGCCTCATTTGTGAAGTTTTGGAACAATTAAGTATTGCTTGCATGAATGTTCAGGGAAAGCAAATACGCCATGAGGTGTAGTACCTGTAAATACTGGTGAGCAGTGGAAATAGGCTTGCAGCCATTTAAAAACCTTGTTTTACTGTTTGTTGTATTCACTAACCTATTCTAAATAAATATGACAGTTATGCAAACAGAACAAAGAAGCAATATTATTATGAATTTATTATTTGTATTACAGCAATGCCTAAAATCTCTATTCAGTGTTCAGGGCTAAATGCTATAAAATACTATACTAAATACTATAAAAACACTTAAGAGGCAGTCCTTGCAATGAAGAGTTTACGGTTTTGGTTAGAACAGAAAATTATTGGTTTTTGAAAAAAATCAACAGGAAGCTGGGTGCAATAATAATAAAATAAGCATAGTCCAGTGAAAATTAATCATGCTCATTAATTATCTGTCTAGTTATTACAAGCTGGCCTTGTTGACATGCTGGCACAGAAGAAAGGACAAGGAAGGGTCTGAAATATACAACTATTACAACTGGTAGGAAATTGATAGATCTACCCTGCTCAATGGAAAATTTCAACAAAAATAGGGAAAAATGCTTCTGGACAAATCATCAAAGGAATATGTTATGATCATAAAACCTAAACCTTACCATATGAAAACTATTGGCTTTCCATTGCTTCCCCAAATCCCAAACATTTTCCTTCAGCTTTTAAATTTTTTACTTTTTTTTCCCCAAAGGAAAAAACTCTTAAATTGAAACACCAAGTTTCCACTGGAAAAAGGAGTGTCAGCAGAAACTTTTGGCATGGTCTAATTGATGTCTTTTAAGTTATCTGAATAAGACAAGAGAAACAGGGTGTGTGACTTAGTTGATCAATAATATATGAGCAGCTCCCCAGGCAAGCAAGCCATAAATTCATTCCACAAACAACCTGCCAAGTAGTTGTGATGATTATACAAATATGTACATATTCCAGCATGCTCACAGATTGATTATGAAAAGGAGAAAAAAATGACCAAATTTTTTATTTCAAACCCTGATTTGGTGAGCTCACTATCTCAGTATATAGCTGAAGCCATGGGCAACTGGTGCAGTCCCACCAACCATGGGGGGGAGGTCCCCTGCGGCTAATCCTGCTGAATGGGGGTGGGGGGAAGCAGCTGCAGCAATGGGCCGGCGCTTGCAGGGGGGCTCCCACCTGTCCCCCCACTCATTGCCTAAGCGGTGAGCACTGCTGATCAGGGGGTGCACGTGATCTCAGGGGGTGCACCCCCTATGCGTCACCCCTGGCTGAAGCAATCATGTCAGTATTCTGGAGAAATGGCACAGAAATGGGTCAGTTTTCTCTTTTGGATAAGCTTTGGAATAATAAACTGATTCTGTGGTTCTGTTTGGAAAAAAACTCTCTAGTGATTTCAGTAGGTCATTATTGCAAATCGTTTATAAGTTGAAGATGGCAATGGCATAGCACAGATGCATGTGTTGAGGGTAGCGGGGGTGCAGATAACTGAATAGGCCTTTGCATGATAAGTACTAGGGCTGTGCAAAACAGCACCGTTTTGTTTTGACTTCCGTTTTGCCATTTCGAAGGGACAGTGTGCCTTTTCGCTGGTTCGAAGCACTGTTCCATTTCATTTAATTGAAACCATTTCGCTGTTTTGACACTGTTGAGATGCGTTTCAACATTTCGCCCGTAGGCTATAATGGGGAATCATGAAAATGCCTATAATTTTGTCATTTCTTGTCTGATTTGGATGAAATCATTGGAGGAATGGTAGCCCCTTCTGAGGTCACGAGACCTGTCAAATTTCAAGGAGATAGGTGCAGGGTTTTTGTGAAACTGCATCTCAAACTGTTCAAAGCAAAACTAGTATCACTTGCTGGCAGTGGCAACGTGCTGTGAACCTGCACGCAGATTTGGGGGCCCGCTTCCCCCAGGAGGAGTCTGGCACAGCCCCACAGCCCTCCTGGGGGCGTGGGCCCCTGGATTTGCATGTGGGATGACAGTAGGGTGCCACTGCCAGTTGAGGCCAAAGCCAGCACCAGCACTGGGTTCTTCCTAGTGCTCAGTGCGGGCTATGCCGGGCAGACTTGGGTGCTGGCACTGGCTTCAGCCAGCAGCAGCAGCCTGCTGTTATCTGCATGCTCCGCAGCTGGTGTGTGGAGCTTTAAAAAAAAAAGAAATGCCTCGCACTCACTGCCTCTGGCAGCAGCAATGTGGGCTTCTGGGCACTCATGGCAGAGTCCTCCTGTGCAGCAGAGGGCAATGGAAATTGCCCCCCTCCCCGCAACACCTGGTACCTGTGTGGCAGCTGCACCATCACACAGATGCAGCACGGCTTGGCAGGGTGCCGCATGCCGTCTGGGAGCTGGGGCGCATTCACCTGTCAGCCAGAACTCCCAGTTCAATTCCTCAGCTCTCTGATCATTCCCCCAGCTGTTCCCGGGGGGTGTGGCCCCCGGATCTGTGTGCGGGGTTTCAGCAGGCTGCTGCTGCTGGCTGGGGAAATAGCCCAGAGCCGCTGCCATCCTCAGCTGGTAGTGGCAGCCTGATGTCATCCCTCATCATTCAGGGCCTGCGCCCTCCAGAAAGAATGGGGGGAAGTGATCAGAGACCTGGGGAAAGTTCAGGGACCTGAACATTCCACCAGCTCCTGGCTCGATTCCCCAGTCCCCGGTTTGCTTCCCCAGTCCCTGGTTCAATTTCCCAGCTCTCTGATCATTTCCCCAGCTCTTCCTGTGGGGCATGGGCCTTGGATCTGTGTGGCAGGTTTCAGCAGGCTGCTGCTGCAGGCTGGGGCCAGTGGCAGCACTGCAGTCTTTCCAGCGCTCAGCACGGGGTGCACCAAGTGGTTGCAGCTGCAGCAGCAGCCTGCTGAAACCCTGTGTGCAGATCGGAGGCCTGTGTCCCCCAGGAAGAGCTGTGGGAATGATCAGAGAGCTGGAGGAAGTGATCGGAGAGCTGGGGAATCAAACTGGGAGGTAGATGTCAATATCAAAGCAATCCTTCCCCCATCTTTCCCCTCCTTCTCCTTAGTTTTGGTTTAGCTGAAAGCAAGCCCAGCTTCGAAACTCAAAACTTTTTGAAATTTTCAAAACATTTTGAGTGCCGTCATTTCATTTCAAAGCTGTTCTGAAGCTTTTCATTTCATTTCAATTTCACCAGGGGTGACGTGTAGGGGGTGCACGTGCACCTCTTCATGTGGTGGTTCAACCCCTGCAAAAAGGCACTGCCAACACTGCTGGCGGCACCTGCAGGCAGTTGCTGCATGTCTCCCCACCACCGGCAGTGCTGGTGGCATCTGTGGGCAGTCCATGATTGCCCCTGGCCGCCATTGTCGCTGCTGGCAGTGCCTGTGGGTGTTTGCTGACCCGTGGTTGGCACTCACCACCCCTGCCACTGCTGGCAGTGCACCGCGCCCCCTGCTCACCGCCGCTCTTGGGGAGCATTGAATTTGCAGCTGAATAAAAGGCTATAACCTGTGGCCTAGCAGAGCTGCTAACCACAAGGCAGAATGATATATTAAAAGTAACACTGCAAGATGCTTAGGCAAGCATTTTCTTAGCAATATAGTAGTGTTGTAAAATTTAGATATATATAGCTCATTATGTATCATTAGGAGGTAAGGCAGATTTTACTTATGAATGCTTATGCTAAGCCATCCATTTGCTTATGCTAAGTAACCATCTTAACTGTGTCAACCATTTTCAAGTGAGTCTGTGTAAGTTTGTGTGCTGTGAATGAGGTGAAGCCTTGGGAATGTGAAGATGATACAACATGGAACTGAAAACCAGACTGAAATGTGAAAGACAACATGTAACAGAATTTGAGATAAACTTATGCAAAAAGGTGAATGGTGATTGGCGAAGAGGCCTCCAGAAGCTTCCAGGTTTTAGTAAAAGTCTGCTCAGTGACTGAAGAAGTGGAGTCAACATCTTAGACATGCCCTCTTAGCAAAACGACATGTAAATTAATAAAATGCATAGGCAATTTCATGCTAATGAAGTAAACAGTAAACAGAGGCAGAGCTTGAGATAGGAGGAGATATGGGTGGAACAAAGGAGGGACCAAGGTGGAGTAAATGCTAATGAATATGAACCAAGGTGTATAAATGTGGAAAGAACAGATGTTCGATGCTGCTCCCTGCTTTGTTGGGTTTTTGGGAGCTCGCCTGAACCTGTCTCCATTCTGAATAAAGCTGTTGTCGAGCAATGTGTGCTGCTGTTTGCTTCCTGAGCAACTGGATCTCTGAGCAATTGGATCATCTCCCTAGTTGTTGGGCGCCGCATGGAGTCGGGGTCTAACACAGTCCATACTCTTAGAATGTCTTGGCAAGACTTTTTTTGGGAAACTTCATTTCTTCCTTCTGTGCTCTGGTTTACCACATAAGAGCTCCTTGGGCATGTATGTTGGCTATCTAAGACAGATATCTAGTCCACTGAAGCCAAGTCCTCAAGGAACTGAAATTTATTCTAGTTTCTGTGACCTGGTATGGCATAAAAGGCATCATTTTCAGTTAATTGTGCTGTTCTTTATCAGTTGTTGGTTTATTGTTTCCTCTGGCTCATCTCTCTGAGTGCAGTATATTTAGATGGCAATTTTCATCTTCCAGGAAGAAAATGTGAAAACTGTTCTCATGAACCCCAATATTGCCTCAGTCCAAACCAATGAAGTGGGCTTAAAGCAGGCTGACACAGTCTACTTCCTCCCCATCACACCACAATTTGTCACAGAGGTCATCAAAGCAGAGAGGCCAGATGGGTTAATTTTGGGCATGGGCGGCCAGACAGCTCTTAACTGTGGTATGTATCATGGAATCGTTTTGGCTTTGTAGCTGAATTTTACACTCATTATACTTGGTTCTACTTGCACAAAAATGAGCGTCTCAGCTACAATTCCTAATTCACTTTCAGACATATATATATAAGATAGATAGTGGCCATATCTATCAAAATGAGAAGTAACTAAACTGTACCTATTGAATATAATAATGGGCACAGACAGATGTGGAAATGAGATGGGGAAAGTGTGTAAAATGTTCCCCATTCAGAATGATGGGGGTGGTTTTGCATTCTGTTAGCATAGGTATAAATGTTTACAGGAGATTCAGGAAAACATTCCTTTTCCCTTAAATGTAAGCATCTGACTGTATGCTTTTCTGAATGTGGGAGACTAAAAGCTGAGTTTGTTGTGGTTCTCAGCTTTAACGTGGACTGCTAGCAGTAAGGTTCTCTGGTGAGGAGGTCATGTATGTGCGTTCCTAGAGGTCCAGATCTCCATACACTTCTTCTTTGCACAATATTCTAACCATATTCTCTTTTCAGGAGTGGAGTTGTTCAAACGAGGTGTTCTGCAGGAGTATGGAGTGAAGGTCCTGGGCACCTCAGTTGAATCCATCATGGCCACAGAGGACAGGCACCTATTTACTAACAAACTGATGGAAATAAATGAAAAGATTGCTCCCAGCTTTGCAGTGAAATCGGTAAATCAGATGAACTCAGTGCCAGCAGAATTAACTTTATTCTTCTTTGAAACAGATTTTCCCATTCTGTTTAGTTTAGGGAAAGTTTAATCTGACCTAGCATGGTGTGGGTTAAACATTCTTGTGGAAACATAGCAACTGATGGCGGTTCATAATGATTTGAAGTAGTTAAAACTGCATGTGCAATGTATGAAAGCCCAATCTGGTTGTGAAAAATAGTCATGTTATCTGAACCCCCAGTAAAATAAGTGGAATAGTAGAGCAATGTGAAGAAAGAAATTATTTAACATTACAGTGGATATTCTTTTTAACTTTTACAAGCTGCAACACAGGGCCAACTTTTAGGTTGGTTAGGCCTACTTTACACATTACATCTATTCAATTACTTGGCTAATTGCACAATTACCATAATTTAGACTGGCTACATGTGCAAATTAAGTATGGTGCCTTAAAAAGGTCCAACCAGCTATAAAGTTATTGCTGGAAAATGGGTAATAACTTCATAGCTGATTTATATCCACCATTAATTTGCATGTATAGTCTGTGCCCCCGCAGCTGGGAAACTGCAGCTGCTGCGATCTTCCAGCCTCAGGGGAATCCCAAGCTGCTGATGACTCTCAGCCCTGGCTGTGCCCCAGGCATAGTCATGGCTGAGAGACTTGCAGCTGATGGAACACATGTTGCATGGCAGGAAATGCAATTGTGTGGATTGTGCATTAGATCCCATTGCACCTCTATGTGCATGTAGAGGGGCCTTCTCTGTTACAGGGACCCTGTTGAAGAAAAATGAGAAAGTGAAAAATGGTGTTTGGTTCAGAGAGGGTGAGAGAAAGATTAAATCTTTAAAAAAAAAAAAAAAAAAGGAACTTTGACATTAGTAAAAGTGCCAGCTCAAATCTGTAGTTGGGTAGTTCCAGTGAGATCACTGGTAATATACCAAGTAAAAATGTGGTCCTTTTTTAGTCAGTAGGGCTGCCTATCTGTAACTAAGGGCAAATTTGGATTTTGGAGTCCATCCTCAAATTTGTCTCATGAGTGATAATATAACTCCAGTCACTCTTTTCCCCTTACCCTAATTTGTGAACTGCCTCATAGATTTCATAGACATTAGGGCTGGAAGGGACC